ACTAAGTACAGAAGGTAGGTTGTTGCTTCTAAGGTGAAGTTGAATGTATGTCAGCAAGATTGATGACCGAGAAGGTATGGCATCTAAAGTGGGTTGACAGCATACAACTGATAGCATAAAATTGGGTCTTCTATTTTTCTACTCTGATCATCTCTTCACTTTGGAGTGTCTAATTCATTTGCATCTAATTCAATGATTGATATGGTGCAGCTAAAAGTTGGTGGTTTGTTTTCTATATGTCCCATGCCTGTCTGATCATGCTACTCCTTTTAATAATACATTGCTTTCCTCCCAATGGCTTTTTAATTTTCCTAGGAGAAAATTTAACATTATGTAATATTTCTTATATAAGTAAATCTTATACACTCTAGATTTAAGCCATATTACATTTTGTTTAATTCTTTAATTTTACATCTTCACCAAATTTTGCCTCTTTACATATAGTTTCTGCCTTAGAATATATATATCCTGTGAAGTCAGGACTGTATTATCATGTACCCCAATGTATTCCTAACTTCTAGTTTAGTAACTGAAAAATAATTAGTATTCAATGACCATTTGATGAAGAGATGCAGTAATACATTGTTTATGAAATGAGTTCAAATTGACTTAGACTTTAACTCAAGAAGCTTTTAATACAGGACAACAAAAGAATCTATATAACACAAAGAAGGTGTAATATAAATACAGTTATAAGCAGAAGTCACTTTTTAACTTCTTAATAATTGAACATTGAGGAAATATACAAGACACAAGAAAATGTCTACAGGTTCCTCTCCATGTATTCACTACCCAGCTTCAATTCTTATCAACATATGTCTCATTGTGGTTTTTTCCCTATGCTTCAAAGTAAAATTGCTGAGTGCAAGGGTCAGTGGTGTATATGATTTTATAGATACTGCTAACTGCACTTCTATAATAAGTTTCTGCATTTTGCATCCCACTTGCTGTATATGAGAGTGTCTCCAGTTTGGTCAAGACAGTATGATATGAAATTTTGAATATTTTCCAGTATGTGAGAGATGATATTTCAGTATAGTTTTACTTTTAAAACAGAAGTTCTTCAAATAAAGATAAATGACTTAGTGCATTTATCAGTGAGAGAAAAATATATTGAGTTGGTCAAATAAGTTCATTTGGGTTTTTCCATAGCATCTTATGGAAAACTCCAAAGTAACTTTTTGGCCAACCCAATAGTTCCTGGACAGGCCAAAAAAGGAAAGAAAAGACCTGGTCTAAATAAAATAGAAAAGACCTATGCTACACATGTAATCATTGGAGGTTAGAAAATTGGCGATCAGTTCATATGCTGAGGAGATTAAACAATTAAAGAATGTTATATAAAAGCAGAAGATGACAGAGTTACCCAGATGAATTTGTTAATTTCCTAAAAAAAGCATAAGTTACCACATTTTCTTAAGGAGAAGAAGAAAACTGAAGATGTCAATAGCTATTTGACACATTGAACAAGAGGTTAAAGATGCTACCCTATAGAAATCACAGGACACATTCAATTTTAAGTACAAAGTCTTCCAAAACTTCAAAGAACAGATAATGCTAGGGAATAAAAATTATTTTCTGAGTATTTTGACTCATTTTATGAGTCTATCATTGTCTCAGCACTAAAACTGGATGTAGATAGCACAACTTCAAAACACTACAGGTCAGTTTCACTTGTAAATCTATGTGTAAAACTCCTACATTAAAAAATGACAAAACCCACTACAATGTTGTAAAGTAATTAGCCTCCAACTAATAAAAGTAAATGAAAAAAAAATTAGAACATCAAACCCAGGTTGTGATATTCTCATTTGATATGTTATAAACAGGATTTATGCTAAGTATGCACATATATTCACATTGGATGCTCTGTTAATGATTTTTAATAGTTAAGATTAAAAGAGGACTTTATTATATATTCTTATTGGGGGGATCAGATGTTCTCTGCTGAGTTTTTCCATATTCTCATTAAAGTGGAAAATATCACTAAAGATTCAATTCTTCATAAAATATTTCATAAGTTCTTGTGTCAGATTTCCCTAAATCAATTTGAAACACAGTGCCTGTAATCAGTGGAAATAAGATGCAGGGTCAGAGCTCTGGGAGCTGAGGGAAAATGGAAAATGATTTGACTCTCTGAACTGAAACCATTTTCTCTATTCAACAAACCAGCAAACATCTAATGACAAAGAATCACCATGGGACACATTAGGCCTCCCACAGTCCCAGATCATTCCCTAGTCCTGAACCAAATAGAGAAATAATAAATTGAGAAAAAGGTGAAATAAAATATTGTAAAGAAGAGGTGGTTTGTCTAAGTCAATTTTTTTTTTTTTATAGTTTTACATCTGATGCAGCTTTCTTATAGGAGCATGTGATTTGAAAGAAACCAAAATTTGTTTCAACTTTCTTGAGATCTGCAGATAGGTAAACTTGGTATGTATTTTTCATTTAGTGTCAAGCACTTGCTTGATCCACTTGCTTAGGATTTCTTTCCTTAAAAAGGGTTGGGACCTTTAACTAGAGAAAGAAACTTGGAGCAATGACTTGTGATGCTTGGATTAACAATTTAGTTGAAATTCTTTTGCCTCAACCACATATTATTTACATCCATGTTCGTCTGGCACATAAAATTTTACTTTGGTTATTATAGAAAATGGTTTAAGGATCTGTATCTGTAATATTTAAGCTAAATTTTAAATTTTATTTAAAGGTCTTCTGAGCAGAGGATGTTTTCTAGGGGCATATCCATGTGCATGCTAAGTTGCTTTAGTTGTGTCTAACTCTGTGTAACCCTATAGACAGTAGCCTGCCAGGTTTCTCTGTCCATGGGATTCTCCAGGCAAGGATACTGGAATGGGTTACCATTTCCTTCTCCATAAAATTTTGTATTTATAGCAGTTTATCCCAGCCCAGTCCAACACACAGACAAAAATGGCACTCAGTAGGACACAGTGTTACTCTCCCTAAGGATTTCTGGCATTTTTCTTCTCCTCTTTCCACACTCATTAATTTCTCATTCACTTTCACTAATAGAAAGTTGTCATTTCATAGGAGACTGACAAAATTAAAAGGTATGATCAAGAATGCTTACTTAGACCCATACTTACTCCTTTTGGATACAAATTCCCTTCCCCACAAGAGAATGTAATAGAGAATGCCCATTCCACTCCAGGTGATAGTGACCTAAATGTCCTTTGTAATGTTTAGGTTATTTCATCACAGCATTCACTGTTCATTCTCTTGATTATTTTTTTACATTCAAATTTTTGGGAGAATCTTTGCAAAGCATCAGATAGCAATAACTCATCTAGAAAATATTATCAGAGAATAAAATTTTCCAGGCTAATACATTTTAAACTTAAACTTATCTCTTTAAGAAAAATGCATTAACCAAATATATATGACCTCCTATCTTTTTAACTAGAAAGGGCCCTTATTATCAAGTTTATTTATGGTACATTAAGAAATATTAAAACGATTTTATATCAACTGTCTAAACTCAGCTCCTCTCATCTTCCAATCTGGATAATTCCATTTGTCACAAACTCTTAAACCATACTTTTTAGATTCTATTAGAGACTCTATTATCAAGGATTGTCGAAAGGGTTTTAAAGCCCTGGGATAGGTTCTGGATGTGTTGCTGACTAGTAATATAAAATTGAGCATATTAGTTAACTTTTCTAATACTCTATTTCCAGGTATGAAAAATGTGGAAAAAAAAGAAAAATGTGGACAATAATCTCCTCCTTGCCAGATTATTATAAGTACTTTAATGCACACAAAATGTATCTGAAAACACTTCCAAACTAAAGAGTTTTGCCCACTGACATGCTTTTTACACTATCTTTCACAGAGACTGACCCTTATCACTTCTAATTATAACATAGAGAATGAAAAGTGAGAGCCTTTTTCTTAAAAAAAAAAAAAAAAGGTTCTTGTGCTTCTAAACATATATTTTTAAAGGAATTTTCAAAGTTTTATCTATCTTCTTAAAAACTTTTTCTGTATTCTCCCAAAGAAGCTGCAGAGAGAACATAGGCAGAAAGGATTATTTTATAATCTATTGACAAAGTGTTTATTTGCTCAATTGTGTATTATCTCATTATTCATATGTTTTCATTTACTGCTTATCTTAACTTTTGTCTAATTAGAAATTATTGTGTTGCTGGATATTTTTTAAAGGAAATATCTTATTTCACTAGGTCTGAGAAATTCTAGACAAAACCTAGAAATTCCATATACTGAATATAATTCATCTTTTGGAAGGTTTCTGAATTGATAAGTGAAATGCTACACTTGGCCTTCAAATGATCTATGCTAACTAAATCAGATTTTTGCATTTTATGGCTGTAACCTTATCTATTGATGTTCTGTACTATATTCTGGTTATCTTAGTTTACTTCTTTTCATATGATACAATGTTAGCTTCAAAGGATTGTAATTCAAACCAAAACAGCTATAATAACTTCAGAGACAACATAGATTAAATGGTTTTAATGATGTGGTAGTGGAAATTAAATAATAGAGAAAGGACAGAGGCAAGAGGAGAGAGACCCTCATAGTAAAAATTACAGGTCTTTTCCTTGTGTAAGTGTGGTCTCTGAGACTTCTCTAAGAATTGAAGCTGCTTGTGGATAATCCCAAATGGATAATGAAAATCAGCCAGGTAAGAAGGCAATACAAGATTCTGGATACCTTAGCTCTTCCTATTAATTGTTCTATTTGCAATGTAGATTTATCTTTTTGCTTAGAATCATATTTGACCCACAAATGTATAAAATAAAGTGTTGATTTACTGCATCTGCACCTCTTAGCTGTTCTTCATCAGTAAGGATAATTGAGAGAAGAATCTCTTTGTTAAAATTATAGATGAAACATTTTCTATTAGAAATAACTCTAGAGTATTTTAAATTAATGTTGAGAGTAGAACCCTTTAGGATCAGGGTCTACTTTTCTTGCTCTTGTTAATAATGAATGTTTCTCTTTGTAGGTACTCCATGAACCACGGAAATAATTCTAGGGTGGCTGAGTTTGTGTTGCTGGGGCTTTCCAGTTCCTGGGAGCTCCAGTATTTCTTCTTCATGCTGTTTAATTTCTTGTATATCATCATTGTGCTGGGCAACCTCCTCATTGTACTTACAGTGATCTCTGAACCTGCCCTGCATATACCCATGTACATAATGCTCAGTAATCTTTCCATTCTTGATGTTTTTCTGGCCACTTATGCAACCCCCAAGATGATTCACGATTTCCTTCATGAACCCAAGACTATCTCCTTCGAAGGCTGCATGGCCCAGATATTCTTACTCCATGTCTTTGCTGGTGGTGAGATGGTGCTCCTTGTAGCTATGGCATATGACAGATATGTAGCCATATGCAAGCCTCTCCATTATGCAACCATCATGAACTTGTGCAAATGTACAGGTCTGATAGTAGGCTCTTGGGTGATTGGGGTCATGCACTCCTTGAGCCAATTAGCTTTCACTGTAAACCTGCCTGGAAATAATTCTAGGGTGGCTGAGTTTGTGTTGCTGGGGCTTTCCAGTTCCTGGGAGCTCCAGTATTTCTTCTTCATGCTGTTTAATTTCTTGTATATCATCATTGTGCTGGGCAACCTCCTCATTGTACTCACAGTGATCTCTGAACCTGCCCTGCATACACCCATGTACATAATGCTCAGTAATCTTTCCATTCTTGATGTCTTTCTGGCCACTTATGCAACCCCCAAGATGATTCATGATTTCCTTCATGAACCCAAGACCATCTCCTTCAAGGGCTGCATGGCCCAGATATTCTTACTCCATGTCTTTGCTGGTGGTGAGATGGTGCTCCTTGTAGCTATGGCATATGACAGATATGTAGCCATATGCAAGCCTCTCCATTATGCAACCATCATGAACTTGTGCAAATGTACAGGTCTGATAGTAGGCTCTTGGGTGATTGGGGTCATGCACTCCTTGAGCCAATTAGCTTTCACTGTAAACCTGCCCTTCTGTGGTCCAAATGTTGTGAACAGTTATTACTGTGACCTTACTTTGGTCATCAAACTTGCCTGTACAGATACGTATATCCCTGAAGTGTTGATGCTTTTGGATAGTGGTCTCATGGGGGTGGCTTCATTCTTGCTCTTGCTCGCCTCCTACACAGTCATCCTGGTCACTGTGCAACGTCATTCCTCAATGGACATGACCAAGGCCCGCAGCACTCTTACTGCCCACATCATTGTGGTTAGCCTCTTTTTTGGGCCCTGTATCTTCATCTATGCCTGGCCTTTCAGCAACTTCCCGGTGGATAAAGTCCTTTCTGTGTTTTCTACAGTTTTCACACCTATATTGAACCCCATTATCTACACATTGAGAAACAAAGAGGTGAAATTGGCAATGCATAAACTGAAGATGCGCTATGTATGTTCTGGGCTGCCTTCTCAACTCTCTCTCCTAAGACTAGATCTGTTGAGTTGAGTAGACAGCAATACACTTGAGGAAACATGGATTGTCTCTCTTCTTGGTGACCACCATAATTTTTAAAAATACTTTATTTGCTTAAAGTGATAAAGGTAATGCATGTTCTTTGTTAAATATCTATTGTAAAGAAGCTTACATACAATTATGCAGTCTCTAACCACAATTATTTTTGATATAGTTTATAGTTAACTTGCTTATATTTGCTACCTAATGTCAGTGACAAGATGTTTCACAAAGTGTTGTATAATTGAAATTGTATGAATATGTTACCTGCACAAACACAGACACGTAGATCAATGGAACAGAACAGAGAACCTAGAAATAAACTCATGCAGTTACGGTCAATTTGTTATCGTTTAGTTGCTAAGTCATGTGCGACTCTTTGTGACCCTATGGGCTGCGGCATGCCAGACTTCCTTCACTTTCTCCTGGAGTTTGCTCAGATTCATGTCCTTTGAGTCAGTGATGTTATCTAATCATCTCATTCTCTGCTGCCCTCTTCTCCTTTGTCTTCACTCTTTCCCAGCATCAGAGTCATTTTCAATGAGTTGGCTCTTCTCATCAGCTGGCCAAAGTATTGGAGCTTCAGTTTCAGCATCAGTCCTTCCAATGAATATTCAGGGTTGATTTCCTTTAGGATTGACTGGTTCAATCTCCTTGCAGTCCAAGGGACTCTCAAGAGTCTTCTCCAACACCACAATTCAAAAGTAGCCACTCTTCTGAGCTCAGCAATTCTTCTGTGCTCACAACTGCACATGAGTACTGGTAAAAACACATCTTTTCCTATGTAGACTTCTGTTGGCAAAGTGATTTCTTTGCTTTTTAATATGCTGTCTAGGTTTGTCAGAGCTTTCCTTCCAAGGAGCAAGGATCTTTTAATTTCATAGCTGCATTCATGGTCTGCAGTGATTTATGATCAATTAATCTACAACAAAGGAAGCAAGAATATACCATAGAGAAAAGACAGTCTCATCTACTCAAAGCACAGCCATTTACTTTTCTGTATTTTGTTAGCAGGTGAAGAATTATTCAAATAAATAGTGTTTTAATTTTGGGAGCATTTTTGTTTGTTTCTTCTCATTTTATAGTAATTAATCTATTCTCCTGCAATTAAAATTTCCCTCTTCATGTATTAATTAGTAATTCTAATGATAATATATTCTCCCTTTAAGTAGTCTTTTCCCAGTTATTTTTAAGGGATATTTAATCAATACATACACTTTGTGTATCAGAATATTTGGTAGAAAACACCATTATAACAGCTAGTAGAATATTCACTATGCGAGAGGTATTACTGTAAACACACTTCACCTTCTTGTTAAAAAAAAATAAAGGCAGTCTGTTCCTAGTGTGTGTGTGTGTTTTTTTTTATTAGTTGGAGGCTAATTACTTTACAATATTGTAGTGGTTTTTGTCATACATTGGCAGTCTCTTCAATGAATAGTGCTGGGAAAACTGGACATCTACATATAAACTCAAAATATATTAAAGACCTAAATATAAGACTAGATCCATATATTTTTTTTTAAGACTAGATCCATAAAACTCCTAAAAGAAAACATAAGCAGAACACACTTTGACATAAATCATAGCAATATTTTTTGGATCTATCTCCTAAACCAAAGGAAAAAATAAACAAATGGGACCTAATTAAACTTTAAAGCTTTTTCACAGCAAAGAAACTCATCAACAAAACAAAAACACAATCTACTGAATGGGATAAAACATTTGCAAATATGACTGATAAGGAGTTAACAGCCAAAATATATAAGAAGCATCATACAATTCAGCATCAAATAAAGCAATGACCTGATTTAAAAATGGACAGAACTGAATAGACTATTTTCCAAAGAGAAAATGCAGATGGCCAATAGGCATATAAATAACAAGGGGTGAGGATCTGGAGAAAAGGGAGCCCTTGTACACTGTTGATGTGAATGCACATTGGTACAGTTACTGTGTGAAACAGTATAGAGGTTTCTCAAGAAACTAAAGAATAGAACTACCATATGACCCAACAATTTCACTTCTAAATATATATTCAAAGAAAACCTCCTTCCCTAAACACTAATTCAAAATGATACATGAACCCCAGTGTTTGTAGCCTCATTATTTACTATTGCTAAGATATGGAAGCAACCTAAGTGTCCATCAACAGATGAGCAGATAAAGAAGACGCAGTATATCTATATACTATGGAATACTGCTCAGCCATTTGCACCAACATGGATGAACTTTGAGGGTGTTATGCTAAGTGAAATAAGTCAGAGAAAGACAAGCACTGTATGATATCACTTTTTGCAGACCCATAAAAGATTTATATAAGACAGATATGAACTTTAGGCACTTGGTAATAAGACAAGGACAACAAAGGATGAGATAGTTGGATGACATCACTGACTCAATGGACATGAGTTCGCGCAAACTCTGGGAAATAGTGAAGGACAGGGAAGCTTGGCATGCTGCAGTCCATGGGGTCACAAAGAGTTGGACATGACCAGGTGACTAAGCAACAATAACAATAAAATTAGAACAAAACCTCCATCATATACGTTATGAAAAAGGTAATTACTGAGCCCCAGTGTGGTGTCTGAACATTGGTTTAAAGGGCAGCAAACTGAAAAGGCAGTTATTTTGGAGATTAATAAACACTACAATCCAGAAGCACATTATAATGTCACTCTAGTGAAAACTTACTTAGTAAGTTTCCATGCTTCCAATCTTAGCCTTCAGTATATTCTAATATAGCAGCCAAAGTAATCATGATAAAATTTGTCACTTCTTTGCCCAAAGCACTCCAAAGCGTTCACCCATTTCCTGCACATTGAAACTAAAGTTGTTATGATGACCTCTAAGTCCCAATACCTCTATCCCTTGTTACTTTTGTGATCTTAACTCCAACATTTCTCATGCTTGTTAACCCTGCTTCAATCAGCCTTGTCTTGTTACTGTTTTTAGAAAATTCTAAGCACCTATACCAGGTTCTTTGCATTTGATATCCCCTCTTTGTGGAAGAAACTTTCTTCCTTTTGAAATCTGTATGCTTATCTCTTCACTTCCTTCAGGTTTCTTCTTAAAGTAGTCTGTTCAGTGAAGTCTTCTGTGACAACTCTATCTACAAGTACAATGTTTCAACAATATTTATCATGCATCATTGTTTTATATTTTGCTCCATAGCACTTACTACCATATAACACATTATATCATGTACTTATTTCTTTACAATAAATTTGTTTGTTTCTCCCAACTACCCAGTAAAAGCTTAATTGAGGACAACGGCTTTGTTTCATTCACTGCTACATCCACTAAGCTTGGAAGATTGCCTGGTATTTGGTAGGCATGAAAAAATGTTATTGAATAAATTGGTCTTAATTCTACTTAAAGCAAAGAAAAAAGAAACAACAACCCAAAAAAACAAACAAAAAAACTACTCTGCATAAACATAGTGGGAGTAAAAAGCTACTCATTCCACAACTGATATTTAATCCTCATTTATTTCTCCAAACCATAGAAAGCTTCTAAGCAAAAATGCTTCCCCTTCCCTCCCCACCCTCATACAGTGCTATATAAACAACAAGAAATGAATACCTAAGTCTACCAAATATTTCTACTGCAGGAAGCAGCACCCTTTTTCTGATACTTCTGCTGACTGAGCAAATCTGTAGGAAAGTTTGAGCTTTCAGTCAGGAAGAACAGATTTTAGATTCAATCGTCCCCACAGTTTAACTTTCTTGAATCCCATTTCATTATGTACATAAGAAGGAAACCTAGCTAATTTAATTTTTTCTCAGCCATAAAAAAAATAAGCACTGGAACACTTTTTTATTCATTATGAAATTGCGGGATATTACTATGTAAACAGATGAATGCAAAGCTAACATGATTATAGTGGATTGGAGGAGATAAGATTTGGAGCCTTCAGTCCCCTTTAAGAGCTCATGGGGGCACCTGCACAACACATCCAGGGTTCCATGAACCAAAGTTTGAAATTCCCTGGGCTGTAAAGTCTTTCTGGCTCCTCCAGGACTTTTACATTCTGATTTGTCTTCTCATTCTGATTTCTCTCCCTCTTTCTTGGTCTTTGCTGGCAATCAACTGAATAAGTCTGAATATCCCATTCCCAAATGTTTAATCCCTTTGTCCTTCTTTGTACATATCCATCTTGACTTCAGCAGGCATATAAGGAACTCCTGAGGTATAGCTTCCAATTGCAACTACTCCCGGCTAGCCTTTATTCCCTCTAGTCATTTCCACAACCATCAGATGCATACTCCTAAACTATATTCTCCTATACTGAAATTGTGAGTAGCATTTCATTTCCTGACAAATCAATTACAGAAACCTCAGTTGGTTCAGTTTAGTTCAGTCGCTCAGTCATGTCCAACTATTTGTGACCCCATGGACTGCAGCACTCCAGGCTTCCCTGTCCATCAACAACTCCCAGAATTTACTCAAACTCATATCCACTGAGTTGGTGATGCCATCCAACCATCTCATCCTCTGTCATCCCCTTCTCCTCTGTCTTCAATCTTTCCCAGCATCAGGGTCNTCAGTATTCTTGCCTTGAGAACCCCATGAACAGTATGAAAAGGCAAAAAGATAGGACACTGAAAGATGAACTCCCCAGGTCGGTAGGTGCCCAATATGCTACAGGAGATCAGTGGAGAAATTAACTCCAGAAAGAATGAAAAGACTGAGTCAAAGCAAAAACAATATCCAGTTGTGGATGTGACTGGTGATGGAAGCAAGGTTCAATGCAAAGAGCAATATTGCATAGGAACCTGAAATGTTAGGTCCATGAATCAAGGCAAATTGGAAGTGGTCAGACAGGAGATGGCAAGAGTGAACATGGACATTTTAGGAATCAGTGAACTAAAATAGACTGGAATTGGTGAATTTAACTCAGATGACCATTGTATGTACTACTGTGGGCAAGAATCCCTTAGCAGAAATGGAGTAGCCATCATAGTCAACAAAAGAGTCCAAAATGCAGTACT